GCTCATTTCTCCTTTCCCCCTAGAAAGCGTAAGGGTTGAGCGTTCGGTGTCATGGCAAGAAGGTGACACGACCAGGTGCTCCCTCGCTGGCGGCTGTGCAGCCGGGATGACAAACTCTCCAGGAAGAGCTCCACCTCGAGATGGCCAGGCCCAGCCAAAACAACCCTTGGCACCACATTTCCAAGCCTTATGGCAAGCACTAGCTGAACCTCTGCAGTAAACATATCGTCCCTATTCACACAGCCATTAGCACACGTTTCCAGGGGTATTTTTCTTGAGTGTCTGTTCTCTACCTGTTAAAAAAAGCAGAGAGGCCAGATTGTTAATACAATCTTTTAAAGGGCAAAAATGAACAACCATTTATCTTTTTTGTGTTAACTTTATTGCAAGCTTAGCTAGAGACACAAGGAAAATCTTTTATTACATTATTTTTAGGGTATGGCATTTTCTTCTTAGCTCTGAGTTTAGTTTTTGTCAAAAGATTTGCTTTGAGCTGCCTTGATCACTGAAAACAAGGCTTAAGCAACAGTTCCACTGCTTAGTGCTGCTTTTTAAAGTTTTGTTTGACTGATTCAACTTTTACTTTACTCATATAACAAACCAGAGTCTGCTAAAGTAAGGAACCTGTAGAAAAAGATAGTGTAGTGTGACTTCTTCATCTGATAGTGTATCTAGGAGAATTTGAAATGAAAACTTGTAGACTGTATAAAACAAAGTTATTTTCAATGTAATTAAGCAAAAATCTCTATTTTTAATAAGTTTCTGCTTGAATTGGAAGTTTTTTTTTTTCAGTTTTATATGTGTGTGTGCATGAAACTCCAGCACATACACATGGCTAGTTTGTACATCATGGACAAATTGGGATGAGTTTATCATGGTTCATGTTACAGTACAGCAAGACTGCTTCCACATGTGCTCTGAGTGAGATACTGGATGGATTTTTTAGGAAATTCAAGGCAGCAACAAAGGCTAATTTCACTTATTTCACTCCTGTCGATCTGAGGAGGAGTTCTTTTTATTGGCTTGTAAAGATGGCCAGTTTTATTAAAGTAGAAGGACTGACTTCCTGCTTGTTTTCAGTTTTGTGCAATAAACTGGTGTTGTGGTTTAACCTCAGTCGGCAACTAAGCACCACACAGCCGCTCGCTCAATCCCCCCCAGCCGGTGGGATGGGGAAGAGAATTGGAAGAGCACAGGTGAGAAAAAACTCGTGGGTTGAGATAAAAACAGTTTAATAATTGAAATAAAATTATAATCATATGATGATAATAATAATAATAATAATACACAAAGCAAGTGATGCACAGTACAATTGCTCACCACCCGCTGACCGATGCCCAGCCAGTCCCCGAGCAGCGGCCCCCCCAGCCAGCTTCCCCCCC